GCCCTTGGACATGGGCTGTTGGGAGAAGAATGTGATGATTGTCAGCAGAGACAAAAGAGTGCTTCTTCCCAAATGTGTCTTTTTTAAAAAAATTATTACGTCTTGGTGGATGCCTTCAAATGTCAATTTCACTCATTTAACACTTGGTTCTGATTCAGTCACAAGGAGGGGTGCTTGCAGTTTAATTCTGCTTTATCCCAAATACAGGAAACAAAGAAGTACCGGTATATAACATGTCAAAAAGGTAAGAAAACCCTGACAGACCCTTGAACTATGTACAGTATATGAAAACCAACCTTAGTGTAGCTATAACTTGTGATACTTGGTTTGCCCAATGCAATCAACTGATTAAAAAAAACCCCGTAAAATGGAGAGGAAAGTTATAGGATCTAATGTTAGGGATAGAATTTTTGGAGTTTCTTCTTTAGAGAGAAAGTTCCAAGCCGGGGTAGGAACAGGAAGGTTAGGCAGAGCTAGGCCTGCCTAGGCTTCAAAGCCTTCTTGTTTAGACTTTTCTCTCAGGCAAATCACATTTAAATGTCTGAAAGGTATCTGTCAGATAGAGCTTCCAGAATGGAGAATTGTGGGATTTGCAGTACAAATTAATTTAAAAAAAATCTCCATCTAATGTTGGAACGATGGGAACAAACTCAAGTAGTGAAGTTGTAGACAAATGATTCCTTGCCACATACTGAGGCCAGTTGTCTTTCTCTGGCCCTTTAGGGCATCTTGCATATTCAGTCATGTATTTCAGCTATTTGAATTCCTTGTTATTATGTCTTATAAGGTCAGGTCAGATCTGTGTGGTTTTTAAAGACTTCACATACAGTAACTTCAGTGAAGGTATTAAATCTTACCTGCTTCCTCTAGAACATGTGATAGTGTGGTAATTTAAAAAATACTCTGACATTCTTAAGCCGTGCTATGAAATAGTACCCATGTGTATTTTTTCTTTATAGTAGGATGTTACACAGGAAATAACACCTATAATGTCTTCAAATTTTCTTTGTTTCAGTATTTTGTAGGGCAATGTCAAGAACCTGGTGTGTATTCATATATGTGCTTGTGCATATGTGCATACATGAAAATAATATTAAACAAGAGGATCATACTCAACACATCCTCCTTACTAGTCTTGGGACAGCATCTTTTGCTTGTTAGCAGCACCCTCAATTAAAGTTAGTTAACTAACTTTAATTGAGGGTGCTGCTAACAAGCACATCTGTCATTCCCCACATGCCTGAACCCAACTTGTTTTCTTGTTGCAGTGTGTTTCCTTTATGGCACCAGTGTGTGACCTCTGGACCATAGGCTCACTATGGTCTTGGAAGTCAAGTTCTTTGAATTAGGTCATCAGATCTTCCACTCACACCTTCCGAGGGAGTTGCCTGCTGAAGATGAGATGAAGTTCTTAATTTTACCTGCCTCCCACTGCCTGGACTCTCTGTAGTATCTGGCTTCACCTGAACTTAAAACCACTGAGTGCCCTCTTTCTTCTGTTCCCTTAGTCTTTATTTTCTTTCACATTGGTCTGTTTCTACCCTCATACTCATTAGTTAGAAATCCAATCCTATGTTGCCTCCTTCCCTTTCTCTCTTCCTTCCTCCAACCTTTTCTTTACAGTTTTTTAAAAAATTTCCACCACCTTAGTACTCGGTCCAACATTCAAAGAACAGAAATATACTTTATTTGGAGTACAGTTCCCAGGAACCACCAGCTAGCATGGTCGGTTAAAACAGAATCTATGCAGTTACTGTGGGTGTGCTCCTGGATTAATCTGATGCCCAGGTTTTGCATATTTAAAACTAGAGCATCTGCATCCATTCCTGGGGAGGTCTGGCCATGGTGGCATATCTCTTAGTACAACCTGGCTAGATTACTGTAATGTGCTCTGTATGGGGCTGCCATTGGAAAGTGCTCAGAAACTGCAGCCAGATTGTTAACTGGGACTGATTAGAGAGATCCCCTCTCCCCCCACCACCACATACCTCAGTTACAGAGGTCCACTGGCTGCTGATCCATTTTGGGACACAATTCAAAGTACTGGTTTAACTTACAAAGCCCTAAACAACTTGAATCCATCTATCTCAATTGTGTCTCCCTTTTTGAGCCTTCCTGGGTGTTACAATTATCAGGGGAGGCCTTTCTCTTGGTTGCACCACCCTCACAAGTGCACCTCTAGGGGCCACAGGAGAGGGCCTTCCCTCTTGCCACTTCTAGACTCTGGAACTCTGTCCCACACAGAAGGTCAGGCTGGCTCCATCTTGGCTGTCTTTCCTCTTCAGGCAGGCTTTTCCTTAATGACTGACTATGTAGGAGACAGTAAATGGGAGGGTTTATATTTTTGTTGTTTATAAATCTTTTTCGTAATGCTTTTATCTGACATTTTTAGTATAATATTATTCATTCTTTAATAATTGAATAATTCACTGATTTAGCTTTTAATATTGTATATGTTGTTTTGGGTCCATTTTTAGGAGAAAGGTGGGATATAACAACAACAATAGGAAAAACTAACAAAATACAGAGATCTGGCAATTGATACATCTCGCTTGTAGATGAAATACACTTCAGTGGCCCCATAGTCACTGGGGCTTTGGGAACAATATCAAGAAATTTCGCATAGTATTATAAGCAGTTGTGGATCTCAGAAATAACACCATCAGAGCTACAAAAAACTCCTGGGTGCATGCGCAAAGCACTGGGGGAGCCTGCACACCCACCCCTTTGCACGGGTGTATGCGTGAAGGGGTGGGGGAGCGCTCACAACAGTGCTGGCATGTGCACAAAGCAGCTATGTGGAGGGGAGTGCGTCCGGGGGAGAGGAGATCTGTTTCTGCGGCCTGGTCTGGCTCTGGCTACGGACCGGCACTTGGCCGCAGACTGGGGTTGACGACTGCTGCTCTATGACAGTGGTTCTCAAACTTTCACCAGTTGCTATGCTGGCCAGAATTTCTGGGAGTTGCAGTCCAAGAACATCTGGGAACCCAAGTTTGAGAACCACTGCTCTGGAGTACCTTTGGTTGAGATTTGGTGTTAGCAATTTCCTTTCCTTCTTTCCAGTGTCCGTAATCAAGTGGGGTAGATTGTGCACTTGTTATCGTAGTTGTAACTTCTTGCTACATCTATGTTGTCATTAAGATAGGGATCATGCATTATGTTGCACATCAGGGCATACACCCAGTTATTAGCTGTAAGAATTTCTCCCCTCAGGCAATTCAAAATAGGTTTGCTGCAGTGTATAGTTTGTTACATAGGTCTGTGTGAGCACCTGGTTTTAGAAAGCAGGAGGCTTATATTTCTCTTGGGGAAGTTATTGTGGGTAAGATGATAAAACTTTGAGATCCATCACCATGGTTTTTGAATTGAGGATTTGCTCTCAGCATCGAAAAGAGGAAAACCAGAAGCATCGTGGTTTTGCTCTAGGGTACATGCTACTGGCCTCAGGTTGACTACAGAGTTGCTTTGTGATTGTTGCAACTTAACAAAAAAATAGTTGATGTAATGGTTTGCAAACTGTTCTGAGCAACTATTGAGTTTTGTTGGGAAGCCTCTTGGAGATTCCTTAATTGAAAATTAATGGGTAGCAGGCCAGCTCTCCTGAAAAGTATTTGCTGATCTTCCCATGCAGGTTGTGGCTATTTTTTCTGAGTGGCAATCTGTACCCATCTTCTTCTAGATAGGCTGCTGTTTGGTAGACATGTGAGCAGGGCAGGCTTTTAGGGGATGTGTATTGGTTCACACACATGATGAGACCTTATTATAGACCTATATGTTACAAAAGGACAGAAGCAGCCTTCTAAAAAGAAAATCAAGACATTCCATCTGTCCTGGTAGTCCTGCCTCTGACTGGTATCTGCTCTAGTGAATCTGCTGGGCAAGTATATTTTGCTCAACAACCTGAGCTCCTTGCAACTGGACATGACAGGGAGTGGAAAAACCTCGAACCTTCTGCATGCAAAGTGTGTGCTCTGTTACTCCTGACATTCATAAGCCTTTTGACACATATGCCACAAATAGATCGGGAAGGTTAAGATGTTTCATGTATTCAAAAGTACAGTCACAACCTTCCTAGTTTTGTCTCAGATTTGCTGAATTGCAGGGTGAGTAGAGAAAAAGCTGCATGGGCGAGAGATTGGTGTCACTGCAGCTAACTCTGCGGACCCTCTGTTCAAGATTGATTTATGTAGATGGACAAACAGAGAGAAACTAGTTTTGCATCAAAACTCTGTGCCTTTGTCCCTTTGAAAGGTCATATGATAAACAAAACTGTTGTATAAACTGTTGCATAAACGAATGCATAAACAGCAATCTTCATCTATAATCTGGTAGCAAAGTTGCTAGTTCATAAGTAGTGTAAAGAAGCTTTTGTAAACAACTATTTTTGCATGCTTTCTAAAAATAGAAAAGGTTGAGTTCTTATGGACCTCCTAGGTGAGAATTCTGTAAAAGGTGAGCCACAGATTCCTGACTGACTGCTTATGGGTTGGCTGGACGTGTTAGCAAGTTATTTTGGCCATGTCTGAAAACTTAGAAACCCCACAACGAATCTGTAGATCTTGTTAATTAATAGTTTGTTATCTTGTATATGTGATGTTGGCCATGTCTGAAAACGTAGAAACCCCATAACGAATTTGTAGATCTTGTTAATTAATACTGTAGTTTGTTATCTTGTATATGTGATTTGTGTGTGTGCGCACACACGCGCTAATAAAAGCTCTGACTGACTTAGAAACCAAGTAAAACTAAGCAAGCTTTTAGTAAAACCTGCATGCCTTAGAGAGTTGCTAGTTCTTTCGGCTATTTATTCTACTTGGTCCTCCATACTTTCTCTCACTGTCTTGAAGCAAACTTAAAAACATAAATGTTTGAGATAATAATAATATAATTTAGCAAGAGAAAAATAGATTCACACTTACTTTAAAGTGTGTGGATGTAAGTATAATATATGCTGGTCCTGTGTACTACATGGAAGCATAAATGAATTTGTAAGAAATGATATGGAGCAAACAGTCTTCTGTTGGGAAGTAAGTCCAAACTCTAATGTTTTATTTGAAAATTTCCAGTGCTTTTTTTCCCCGTGGACATTTTTCCATTCCAAAAAATAATTGTTTTTAGATTAACAGCAATGAAAGGATGCCACTCAGTCTCAATCTGAAATCTGACTGAATAGGGTAGATTTCAGTAAAGGTCAGTGAAACTTAAGCTGCCCCAAATAACCTCAGTGGAACAGACTTAAAACTCTGTTGAAAGTAGATTTCTGGACAAAAGCAGTATAACGGGGTGTGCTAAAATTTTAAAATGGAAACCTCTTCCCTTAAATGTAAAAAAGAAGGGAAATATGGGTTGTAAAAAACTTAAGCAATTATTGTAATAAAAGTAATTCCCATGTAAAGCTGTGGATTTGTTTGACTAGTAATATGTGAAATACATGAAGTGTGTGGTTTGGTGTGTGTATCCGGTATTTTAGCTCACATATATAGGGACTGTTGGGACATTAAAATTTTTGTTCCATAAATGTAAGTCAATCAGTCATGCTAGGTCAGATCAATCTCTCTTTGGGGGCATTGGAAATCTTATCTGGGAAATGTTACAATTCAGAATAGTTAAGAAAACTTGCATCTTTATTTGCAGGCCAATTGTGCTGGGACTGTTGTGCCCTGTTTTTTTGAAGGCAAAGCAGTGCTTCACAGGACACATTCCAGTTTTTCCACTACTGTATTTTTGGTGGCAAAATTGACAGCTTGCTGCATCTGCTGGGGTTGGGATGGCCACCACACCCACCAGAGTTTCCACCTTTTTTCCTGCTTTTTTTAGGCAGTGTCCTTGTTGCTGGCCTCAACAAAATTGAATTATCCCCACTTTAAAAAGCCTGAATTAGCACATTGGTGAATTCTAAAGTGTGAATGTCTTGGTTTTCAGGCCCACGAAGCATCTCATCACCAACAGCAAGCAGCGCAGAACAGTTTGCTGCCTCTCCTGAGCTCAGCTGTCGAGCCCCCTGACCAGAAACCAATTTTACCCTTGCCAATAACACAGAAACCTCAGCCCCCTGCAGAAACACTAAAAGATGCCATTGTCGGGATTAAAAAGGAGAAACCGAAAACCTCCTTTGTGTGTACGTACTGCAGCAAGGCCTTTAGGGACAGCTATCATTTGAGGCGCCACGAATCCTGCCACACCGGGATAAAACTAGTGTCACGGCCAAAGAAAGCTCCCGCCACAATGGTACCCTTAATCTCCACCATTGCGGGTGACAACAGTCGGACATCGCTGGTTTCAACTATCGCCGGCATCCTGTCCACCGTCACTACGTCTTCCTCTGCTACCAATCCAAGCAGCAGCGCTGGTGCCACAGCCATGCCAGTGACGCAGACCGTGAAGAAGCCCAGCAAGCCTGTCAAAAAGAACCACGCCTGCGAGATGTGCGGGAAGGCCTTCCGCGATGTCTACCACCTCAACAGGCACAAGCTGTCCCACTCGGACGAGAAACCCTTCGAGTGCCCAATTTGCAACCAGCGTTTCAAAAGGAAAGACCGCATGACCTATCACGTGAGGTCTCATGAGGGTGGCATCACCAAACCCTACACCTGTGGTGTTTGTGGAAAAGGCTTTTCGAGGTACCATGTAGAAAATCCCAGGCGAGCTCAAGTATTGGATTTTCATTCCGTGATCGCGAGGGGTTGGGGTTGGGAGGGGGGGCTTTGAG